CATGCACGCGAAGACGGAACGTTCATTAAGTCGCTCCCAAAAGAACAGCCAAAACAAACCAGATGGCAGAAATTTTCTTCTTTTTGCTAATGTGGAGGAGGACGAACCGCAGCTGCACACTTCCATAAATCACATCTTATTACTGGAAGAAATATCAGCATGCTTTTTTTTTTCCTTCAAGAAATACTTCACATTTCTCTGAGAACACAAAGTGAAAAAGATCAGATGTGCCTGTAAAGACAAAAGATGGTCAGCTAGCCTCACCGTCATCTTAAATGTTTGCTTCTCGTATCAATTAGGTATGCTAATAAAAACACATTCGTATCATTATCACAACGACAGTATTTTTAATATGTTGTTGTTTTAAATGATGCATTCTTTGTACTGGTGGAAAATAAAACAAAAAACATCATCGTAGCTCTCTTTTGAAGTCTTACTTAAAGGCTAGCTGTGAAGTAATTTCAGAAAATCCCAAGTGAAATATTTTGATGTCACCAATAAAGTAATTAGACAAACAACATTAAATAAAGCATAAAAAAAGTTTTTCTCTTTCATAAATTTGACAAAGTAAGTTTGACAAAGAGCGACAAACCCGGAAATGTGACGTCAATTCAAGAACAAAATGGCACAGCTTAGTATGGAAAGTGGACAAAGCCAGTCTGGAAATTGAGTCAGAAAGCGATTTTTAAAACTTGTCTGAGGGGATCCAGGTGTTTGAAGAGTTGGAGGAAGAAGAGGTTGGTGGCAATATTTATGTTGGACCATACATGTACGAGCCAGATGCTCAGGATTTGGAAAATGTTGTGCCCGAACGACCAGACATGGAGAGTGGGGACATAGCCCATCACGATTGGAAGAATGATAAGCTATATAGGCTGCGATTATTAGTCTAGCGTTATTGTTTGCAATTCATAGTGGGTTGTTGTCCTACATTGTCATTGCTAAGAGATCGGTAGTTCTGTTGTGTTGTCGGCCACTTTATTTGGAACTGTCTTTTTGCACACAGTCAGTGAGAGATGTTAGAATTTTGTACGGATCGCAATTTAATTCTTTATGACTCATACTTTGTCATCGTGTCATGTCTTTGCTACTGCATCCAAAGTTCCTCTTCTCTTAGCACATTCTAAGGAGATGAGAACATGTATAACAATGCTATTATTAAGTGATGAGGGTTAGCCAGAAACAAAACAAAAACAAGTCAGGCAACTAGTTTTTCCATTTCAAGTCTATCTTACGCTCCCAATCTCAACCTTCAACATGTTGGACAAACGAATCCCAAGTACACGATTGAAAACTATCTGTAGTTTTATTATGCCATGTAAGGGAGTCAGCGAATTTAGCTTTATGTGCCACATTGTGCTTAATAGCTGCTGGCGTGTTTGTTGTGCTTTGTTCAGATAAAGAGCCAGTTTTTTTTCACTGCTTAAAAACAAGCAACAGTTTTTACCCTCAGATTTTTATCTTTATTATTTGTTGTAACAATGAGTGAAAACTTCCCCAGTCTCCAGTAATTTTATGTTACCACTCAACCAGTCCTTCTAGTTAGTTAAAATATGTTGATCCAGTTTACTTTTTTTATCTAATCAAAGCCTGCTTATCTTAATGTTAATCTGACTAATCAACTGGCTTTGTCCAGACAGCCGGGGACCAATGTGAGGCCAACAGAACCCTTGGGCCTCCCCACTGACGCCACCATAAAAGTGTAATTTGTGGACTAGACGGGCCTTTTCCACTTCAGTGAAAATTTTATTTTATTATTTTTAAATAGTCCAAGTTGTTTGGCATCTATTGATGTGAGTCAAGAATTCTCAAAACCCAGCAAGCCTTGCCCTTATCTCAACCTCAACCCCATTCTTGTGCAAACACTTTGCCTTTGCCTGACAGTAACTCTCTCACCCCATGAGAAAGAGCCAGTAGGTGTGCTCATTTACATTAGTATTAATTAAGGCCCATAATGAGCTCAGCATGACGCGGCATTTCAATGCATTCCGTAGTCATTGTGCAAACTCTGCTGAGCTCTGGAGCTTTGCGGGCCAAACACATTCAGATAGGCCGCGTGTTCGAGGCGTGGGGGCGTAAAAGACAAGCTCACAAACTAAACCACATTCGAGCCCCCAAATAGTGTACAAGCACGCGCAGACACACAAACACGGGTGCTACTTATTGTTAATCCTCATAAAATAAAGAAGCAAATGAACAGACACAATTTAAGTACACGTTTATAAAATAAGACTCTGCAGTTACATATGGTGCAGTATTAAAAAAAAAAAAAAGACTGACTCATTTTCCATTGAAAATAATGGTTTCACCCACAAGGTGCACATAAAACTCTAAAAGCACAATCATGTAAGAACAATTACATTTGATCATGACACCTCAGACAAATTAAATGAACTCGTTTATAAAATGGTGTAAACAAAATGGAATGATTTGAAATTATTTTGCTGTAAAAAGTGGTATTTTACAGCCGGTTGTATTTAACAGAAAAAAACGATTTCAATATGTTCAGATTTTTAAAACAGTCACGTCTAGTCGCTGAAAAATGCTATAAAACTGTATTACGCAAAAACTATCATGTCGGCGCAATGTTGGCACAAAGCGCATTTAACGCAACAAACTACATCCAGTATAGTCGCATTACTTTCATTCAGATATCACACAGGTCATTAAACAGGTGCTTCTGTAAAGGAAAAAGATCAGATGGTACACATTTGAGGTGTTTCTTTACAAAGTGAAATTGGCAACTACTGGCCTGTCATGTATATTATTGCATTTATCTATTTTTGAAAAATGTCAATTAAAAATATTTTCACAAGGTTGTTGTCATATTCCCCTCGCCCCCCCAAAAAACATTCATGTGAACCTACAAAAATGTTGCAATGTGCATGCCAGGGCAGCAGTTGATGATGTCACACATACTTAATGCATCCCCACTGAATGAGTGCAGTAAATATACACTTTGTTGGAGAAGGCATAAATACTATACCATTTTAGTCCACAATTACTTTGCAAGTATGTTTCCCATTTTTACAGACTACCACTTTCAAGATCAGTTGAAAACAACTTTGCTTGGAAACCAGTTTTGGAATATTTAAAATTTCCCAAAATGTCATTCTCTCAAATGCTGTGTTTGTTTAGCTTGCTCTCATTTATTGTAATTAGCCGTTGGTGTCGTAATGCTAGTTTAGGCTAACTACCACTAATCCTGTCTTTAACTGCATGAGCTTCCTTGTGCTAACTAGTGGTTTTATTCGCTAGACTGAGCTATAAACTCCGTGTGTGAGCTTCAAATATGATCTTGCGCTCACTAGTTGTTGTCTTAGCTCAATTTGATTCGCTGGACTTTGCTAGAATTAACACCCGGCTTTTGTGTCATATGCTGCCTTGCACTAGCTAGGTGTTGCCGTTAGTTTTATTCACTAGACTGAGTTGTAATTGCTGATTGGCTTTAGCGTTATATGCTATTTTCCTCTAACTAGCTGTTGGCTGTGACATCATAATGCTAGGTTATGCTAACTACTTGCTGAATATAGGTTTATTTGTAATTAGTTCCCAGTTGTAGCTTTATACGCTAACTAAATGTTGCACTTCATTCTATTCACTGCACAATGCTAAAACAAGCTCCTGGCTGTAGCTTCAAATGCTACATTAGCTATACAAACAGACATCAACCCCAAGTTAAAAGCGGTGTTGTAAAGTTCCTATTCAGATCACAGTGCAGCTAAGTCCCAAAAGCCATGACAAAACAGTTGGCACCTCAGCGCATCAGCCTGTACTTGAATAAGAGCTTGTTTTTTTTCCTTGTCCTCTGGCTTTTTGGGCTGATGCCACGGCTCGACTTCTAACCAACAAGCCCACCACAGGGAAGCTGGCTTCACAACAAGCAGCAAATAAAGTCAAGGTAGCAACATAAAAAGAGAAAAGAAAAAAAGCACAACGCTCTCTTTCCCTAATTGTATCTGAAGGGAAATCCCTTGAAGTAGCAGTTGGCAGAGGCGGTGAGTTGGCAGACGCATGAAATGAGTGCAATATGCGTAAGTCCTAGAAATACATCACATTTACCCGCCTTGGCTGTGAATTCTCTCCCGCAAAGCTGGGGGCGCCGCTGGACGCAGCGGGACTCGTCTAATTTAAGCGCAACATGTTGCTTTTTGCTTCACATCATTGGGAGTACATAAGCTCGCTGCATACAGTCTCTGATATTACAAGTCCCATCCATGCGTACCATTTACCCGGCAGTGCTGTGCTTCACATACACCTCAGAGGTTTCGTCAGGCACCAGAAGACTGAAGCTACTCCTGAAAGTAGCCAACGGCCTACCTGTAGGGCAGGAAACACATATTAATTACCGGTAATCTTTTTATTTTTAAAGCATGTCAGCAATGCCAGCAAAACCCTTGGTCATGTTGTTTTAGCACAGCTATACCATTTGAACGTTTGTAAACAAGAGGCACCAGGTGTGGCAGGAAGTGATTGGACTTGTGTGATGAATTGTGTGAATCCTGTGAATGTTGTAAACAGCTATGCAAAGAAAGTTGCAAGGCTGCCTGGTGGCCTAGTAGCCAGGAACAGACTGGGAAACAAACTTACCTGTTGGTAAAACATAAATTACGGCCTGTGTTCCACCTCACTCTTTCTGACTGACAATTCACACATTCAAACTATGGCATTATGGAAGAAGTTTAAAATCATCATTCAAACAATTTACTCTGTTTGCTCAATCAATCGACCTTGTTCAGAAGGCATTCGGGTCTATAGTATATTTGGCAAATTGATCACCCATTTCAATGAAGTCCTACTTATTTTTAGTTTTTGGCCACAAGAGGCCAAATGTTAAGATAAATGAAAGTGAGTGGTAAACTTGACTGACCTGTCCATGTTTTCTGTCCTGTCAGAGTGAAACTGGTGCATTGTGAGTGCGAGTTGCAGATGTGCGCTGCCTCCCTGGCGCTGTGGACGGACAGCACGCAGCCTTGCTGGCTGTAGGACGGCCAGCAATGGTAGTCTGTGTTCCCTGATGTCGTCGCTCCTCGCGTCACGTTGTAGTCTGAACACAACATGACACAGCCTCATGTAAGTAATAAAACAACGTCAAAGATGTTCGAGCATGACACATTAGTCATTGAGAAATTCAGAAAAAAATCCCCACAAGTATTTGATTGTCTGTTCATCCATTAATTTTGCGCCTCGTTCGGGCCACTGGTGAGCTGGAGCCGATCCCAAACAACTATTCACACTGAGATTACATTCGCACCTGTGGACAAGTCTTCAAAGAACCTAACATGTATGTTTTTGGAATGCGGGAAGAAGCTGGATTACGCTGAGCAAACTACACAAGAACTCAGGTCATGAGTGAAAACAGAAAAACCTAGCGACATATGTTTCCCATTATGTGTTAGCATTAGCATTAAGCTAGCAGACTAAAGGCTAAGCTATGTGCTTGTTTTGAGACACAACGTGTAATTCTCCGAGTTTTATATGAAGTTTGGCATGAAACTTCAACTGAGAGTGGCATTCAACATCTTCAGGCATCATTGTGGTTGATTTTTTTTAACTATTTCACAAAGTGCTGCTAATTGCAAAGTGAGTTGTGTTCACGGCCACCAAAAAGCACTTGCATACCAGATTTGCGCTCTCAAGCAAAAAATGCTCGTAACTCAAGGTGAGGAATTGTACCTTCCAAAAAACAAACAAGAAAAAAAAAAACTGTTTTTGAATAGAATTGTGCAGCCTGGTCCATGGACCACTGCCATAGCAAACTACAAAGGTTCTGTGAAATTACAATGATTATACTACTTTCTATATTTATTTAACATTCTCTGTATGAAGATATTTGGTAAATTGTATTTTGACATGACCAATGCTGCCCAAAAGGACTGCTAAAGGTCTCGTCACAAACAAATGCCAGTTTATTGTGGTGTTTGCTATGTTGTGGGTTTTTTTGGGCCATTTCTGCCTTCCACGCATTCTTGAATGTAGCATCACAAACATGCACAGTGTAGAGTTAAAGCACATTGTTCTGTGGTCTGAATGGTCAAAAGAAGACACCATGATTTGCACTTTTGGTCATTATGAAAAACAACTGCCGCACTGCATTTATGGAAAATATGATGTAGAAACTGTTTTACAAGAAATGCCAGCCACACACACTTGACAGTGTTTGCTGTTGTGGCTGTTTACAAAGTGAAAGTGACTTCGTCTCTGCACCAGGGGTGAGTTCTTATTTCACTGACACCGCGTGTCATTAATAGCACATTTTAAAAACTATTGTACTATATTTCAAACATTGCCTTAGTAGTAAAAGCTTATATGATGGCAGCAGTTTGGCTCTAAAGTAGATGAATGAAAAATATATTCGTTTCAATGACCGTCGTTCCAGATTAGAAACAGATTGTGTTTGACTGTGGCTCACGTCTGCACCGTGCACAAAAGCAAATTACAATCAAAATAAACGCTTGCCTTTGGTCCTTTTTAGTGGCCCCTTTTTCACTCCCTTTACTCAACATATCGTTAGCCTACCGCAACTTTCGTAATTGCACCATGCCTATCCAGAACATCTTGAGCTCTCCTCTCCCAGCGTGCTGTGCCACATTGAACGCATCACCCCCGCTTCGACCCAAACATTTGCCTTACATTAATCATTCTAATTCCTCCAGTCAGGCGGCCTGTCTTAAATCATCTGCTCCACATTAGCCATGAGAAACACACTCACAAACACACACACATGCCTGCACACAGCCACAAGCTGAGTCTGGGAGTTCATAGAGAGGAGACACTAAATAGTATGGGGTGTGTGTGTGTAGTGTGTGTGTGTGTGTGTGTGTGTGTGTGTGTGTGTGTGTGTGTGTGTGTGTGTGTGTGTAAATGTGTATTGTTAAAGGGGAAAAAAGACACGAGGGTCAGCCTTCTGGGGATGAAGAGAGAAGGAGAAGAACAAGGAGTGTTCAGAGGATCTTTATTCGGGTGGGGAGAAATGAGGCCTGTTGTGGAGCGAAAAGGTGACCGACCTCAGCTGTTCGGGCACCAGAGACGTATGGATGAAAGCTCCCTTTGTGCTTCACGTTTAGGGCGGGAAACGGTCTAATGCATAGAAAAAGCTATCTTCCTTTCCAGCGCTTCACTTTAAATGTCGTATTAGCCTCAGCTGTGCCTCTCATCTGTGGAGAATGTACTTTACATCTGCGAGCCATTTGAAAAATAAGACTTATTACCTGTTGACACTCACTCTGTCTCTCTCGCACACATTTCGGTCATACACTGACATCATCCAGCCCCCCCACTTTTTTTTTTTTTTTTTGCATCTTTGCCAGGAAAAGTCTGTAAATTAATCGATAGCACATCTTGAAGCAAAATGTAGCGCATTACTTGGCTGCAACAAGCAGATGTGCTGTTGACTCAGTCTCAACTAGTTTGCTGTCGAAACAGGAGTACCCACATACCAATATCACTGGTCAACAAAATTTCATTATATTTTTTAATGAGAAGTGCAAGTAAACTTTTCTAGATTTTTTTTTTTTTTTTGCGCTGATTCCAAAACTGCCCTAATTTTTCCTGTTGCACATCAGGTTTTGATAATAATAATAATCATAATAGTAATATAATAAGGATAATATAATATGTGATATAGTAATATTTATGAATTAAGGGCTGGGTTCAGTAATTTTAGCCTTGTCCCCCTCATCATTTTTTTGGTAAGTCACGGCAAAAATAACCATATTATTGCAGGATAGTTATGCACCACTGCAAACGCCCATCTCAATATTAAACTTCAGGTTAAGTTTCTAATTTCATACCTATGACAATATTGTTTTTGCAAAGGCAGGATTTTTGATTGAGAACCCTGCTAAAAACATGATCATCAGGAGCCTTATCATTATACGATATCGATCCCAGCCAATCGGCAAATAAAGGAAATGATAGTAATGGAGATCAGCAAATACAGTACATATTTTAGAGTCTCCAATGTACCTAATATGCATGTTTTTGTAATGTGGGAGAAAGATGGAGTGCCCAGGAATTCAAACATAGAATCCCAGAATTTTGAGACAGTACGCCATGTTTCTTTATGTACTTATTTAAAAAAATGTAGTGAATTGCTACAAGAGTTTGCTGGTTTTTAATTTCCATGTACATTTGAACAAGAAAAAGCAGCTTCAGACAAGATCATGTTAGTGTTAAGTGAAAGTGGACAACTGGATGTCATGTGACTGCCTGTGACCTTCTCACCTTACGCATGGAAACAACCTGCTCGCTCCACTTTCCCACAGCTTAGCCTGTTATTTCAAAAAACCCAACTGAGCCCGCATATTAAGTCACTTCAGACAACCCTGGTGCAAAAACTCCCACACAAAAATGTGAAATAATATACACATTTTTGAGGCTCGCTTATCGCACTCCCAATCAACCATGCGGAGGCTTGACTTGTGGCACCTTCCTGCGAAGCTAAAACATTCCCTGCTGGTTGTTAGCTTCGGCGCCCGTGTCCTCTTTCCCCTCAATCGGCGATTAAATTCACAAAGAGCTGCTATATAAACAGTCCGGCATCTGGGGGGGGAGGTGGAAAAAAATCTCACCACAGGAACGTCGCCAGTCTTTCTGTTATTAATATTTCATAGACTGCAAGGAAGGAGGGCTTGCATTAGAATTACTAAATGTTTACAGTTCGAGGATAAAACCCCCCAAAAAGGCTTTATATGGTAAAATAAGTCAGGACGTAGCCTTGAGTGGTTCTTATTTATTTAAAAACTGTGGCCAAACTTTCCGTGTATCCCAATCCCGACAGACTCTCTGAGCTGGAGACACGAAGGATTAATCTCACTCTGTTGGTTTTGTCCTCTCATTCCAGCCGCCTAATAACCTGTCAAAACAACCCAAGCGAGCAAGAGACCACCGGACCCCTCACCCCCTTACACACACACACACACACACACACACACACACACACACCACACACACACACACACACACACACACACACACACACGCTCCCAGCCTCTGAAACAAAATGAAAACAGAGGTGCAGACTGTGCCGCCTTTTCAAATAAGGCCCAGCATTGTGTCCGCTGAAGGTGGGGTCAGTGTAGCGTGTAAAAAGCGGGCTTACCTCGCAGTACAGATGAAGGCAGCTTGTCCAGGTGCAGCCCAGACTGGTAGAGGTGCAGAATGTGCTCGAAAGCATCCAGCGTCTCGTTGATGTTGGCTTTCAGCTCACCGGCAAACGGACAATACATTCGGCACAGCAATCAGTCCCGTTATGTATACACTATTATTTGGACACAAGGAGAAATAAAATATGGTCTTTTTCTCTCTTGGGAAGATGATATGAAGTGTGTCTGCAGGAATGTTTGTCCATTCATCCAGAAGAACATTTGTGAGGTGAAAGTTCACAAAGGAGTAGGGCCAAACATTTGGAAATATTTGGAATCTGCAAGTGTAGGATTGTCAAAAATGTCTTGGCAAGCTGAAGAGTTAAGCTTCATAGTAGGGATTGAACCACTGAGTCTATCTATCAATCAATCTATCTAGCTTGCTAGCGAGCGAGCTAGCTGGCTAGCTAGCTATCAGGTCAATGGAACACTTTAAATTGTCCCTAGGTGTGAGTGTGAGCGCGAGATGGTTGTTCGTCTCATGTGTGGCCTGCAATTAGGTGGCAACCAAATCAGGGTGTACCCTGCCTGCTGCCCAAAGATGGCTGGGTTGGGCTCCAGCACGCCTGCGACCCTTGTGAGGTTAAGCGGATTGGAAAATGGCTAGACAAAGTTGAGGTTTGCTTATTGGCTCGGCCCTTGGCAAGCATTCACTTTCTCATGTGGCCTTTTTGCAAAATTAATTCCCCAACCCTGCTCTAAATGTTAGAGTCCAACTGGTTAAATAAGCATTTAACAAAAATAAACGAATAAATCTATTATAATAAATAAATAAACTTAAGGCTAAACTATCAGATGGCTATTGAATGACATTTTGTATCCATGAGGAAAAAAAGCCCTCATAAAAATTAAAGGCAGAAACACTTTTTTTTTTTTTTTTGCATGTCTTTTACATGCATCCATAAATCCATTTTCTGTCGTGCTTGTCCTCATTACATGACATGTGGTACATCCCATTCTCCAGGGCACATACGGACAAAGAACCATTCACACTCACATTCACACCAATGGACAAGTTAGTGTCTTCAATTGAACGTTCATGTTTTTGGGAATGTGGGAGGAAAGTAACCCACACAAGCACTGGAAAACATGTAAACTCCACATAAGAAGACCGGAGCTGAGACTTGAACCCAAAAGTTCGCAACTGTAAGGCAGACGTACAAACCACTCAAGAAGCACGTTATAAGTACATACAATTAAAGCTAGTGATAAATGCTAGACTATATAAAAATTAATGTACTATGACTCTGATGCTGCGAGAATGTTTTGAATTATGTATTCACAAAAGTAGGCTACTATTTATCCAGTTGATGCCTGACAAATTCTGCTTTTGAAATGTGCAGGATGCTAGAGGATTCAAAACTGAGATCGATGAGCTACAAGTCCACAGTGCTGTTACAAACATACAAAATGTGTTCCGTACCCAAAAATGGCAATTATGAATCCAATGTATTCCCCCGTGGCATATTCTGTATGCAACTGAAAGGTGTGTCGGAATCTTTTCGTACATATATTCCTCATAACTTGTGTTCATTATCTTGTCACCTGTCAGCTCGCTGTGGAGCGGGTTAAATAGGGCACATCAGGGGCCTGTCATGACAAGACCACAATAACGCAGTGATGTGTGAGCTTGTGAAGTTATAGCGATGCTGTGTTAAGGCGCTGCTCTTTTGCTCACCTGTGACATTCATGATGCGTGCCACCAGGTGTGTGAGGCCGGGCGGGGCCTGGTGAGGCAGCAGGTAGGTGAAAAAGTACCTGGGAGGCATGAGAAGAAAAAAAGAAAAGAGCACATCCATCATGGAGCTTGACTTGACACCATAATGTTGTCAAGGATCTGAAGGGCTGATCAAACGCGACAGGACTCGCTTTTCGCCGCTTTATGAATCACGCCCGTAAACCGCAAATCTGCAGCTCCTGTACGCCTTCACTAGCAACGTTGTGTCAACACAGCACCCAGTGGTAGGTCGAAACAAAGTACAAATACTTTATGACTATACTTGAGAAGATTTTTCAGGAATCTGAAACTTGAGTATTTCTTTTTCTGTCACCCTTTTACTTTTACACCGTACATTGAAGGAAACAGACCTGTATTTTCTAATTTATTATTTTGTCAAATGAGGCTTTTTTTTCCCAAACCCAGAGAGGTGAAGTCAAGCACGATTGAGATTTGGATTGATTCATTGACTGATTGATTTTGGGGACGGTATTTATGCGGTGGACGGAACAGGGACAGCTGCCACACGGAGTAATGTGAACCGGGGTGCATTGCTGCAAATGATGCCACCGATACGAAGAAGCAAGACCTTATTTAAGAGAATCGTTTGATGCTTTTGCCGACGAGACTGTTTTGTGGTGGATGCACTGAATAACTTGAGCTAATTTAACCCTCTGAGGGACAGCGGTTACTACAGTGGACAGCTTATCATGTTATCAGGTTACAGGTGAGCATTATTGGTGCATGAAACGGTTAATGTTAATGATTTAGTCTTTTGTTTTGTCACATGGTGTTTGTTGTCTTTTGTGTGGACCCATTGCCGACAGAAGTATCTGTGCTTGATGGTTACGCCTTCTCGGCTGCTCGCGTGTACTACCACTGATTTTGATTGAGAGGAATGTTGGCGCTATTTGACTGCGACTGCTTTTTGTATTGATTTACTTTTACAGTAAAAGTCCAAATTTAGAAGTGTGCGCCTTAACTGTTGTACAACTTAGCGCCGGGCAGGAATAAGGTCGACTGCAAGAGATGCAGCGTAATTAAGAGCAAGAAGAAGAGGCCGTTTTTTTTTTTTTTACTCTATTAATACCTTTCATTGTTTCTCGTAGAAAAAATATATTTTTTTTTCAATTGATTGTCTTGTAATTGCATTATTTTCATCAGTAGTAGTGGTAATAGTAGGATTTTCTTATGTGTCTTATTTTTATTTGACACAGGTCTTCATGTAGAAGAGACAGAGGATAATGAAGCTGTAGTTTCCACATTGTTAGACCTACAAAGACTACTATCAACCAAGCACCTACCAGCTGTGCGCCAATGGGTTCAGGTTTGTAGATGTAGAACATCACTTAT